TCCGGGTGGACAATAACACCAAGATTCCTGTTAACTGGAAGAACTTCTTTTTCTGTGATGCAAACAAAGACAGCCTGTTCCAACTTCTAGCCAATGCAATACAAGAGTTTCAACCTCCTCCACAGAAGCTAGTGAACTCCACACATGGCCAGAATGCTGTATCATCTCCCATAGCTGACCTGTCAGATTTGTTCTGCACTCACGAAGAAGCAGACACACGGCTCCTGTTTTATGCTTCCCATTCATTCCATCATGGGTTTACCAAGCTGATGATACATGCAACAGATACTGATGTGGACATGTGGTGGTTATCGCAATTGCAGTGTCAAGTGTTTTACAGGACTGGGAAATATTGATAGCATTTGGTCATGGTGCTAAACTACTTTACATTCAGTGCCACCTAATTGCAGCTAAATTAGGCAACGATGCATCATGGGGTCTTCTATTCTTCCACGCAATATCAGGATGTGATACTGTTCCTGCCTTCCATGGAATTGAAAAAAAACAGCTTGGGCTGTTTGGTGCAGTATGCCTCATCTCAAACCGATTTTTGCTCGGTTATCCCATGCTCCAAGCCAGGTATCCCCCGACGACGTAGAGCAAATAGAGAGATATGTTGTTCTCTTGTATCAGCGAACATCAGCACTCAGCCATGTGAATGAAGCCAGGAAGCAGTTGTTCACTCAAAACCGTAAGATGGAAAACATTCCTCTAACGTTGCATGCCCTGGAACAGCATGTGAAAAGGGCTGTTTATCAGGCAGGGCACATCTGGGGACAGTCACTTATAGGAGACCCTAAAGTTCCATCGCCAGATTTATGGGGCTGTGAGAGAGTGACAGATGATTCCCCATGGACTCCATGCTGGACCACTCTTCCGAAGGCAGCCAAAGCTAGGCAGGAACTGTTAAAATGTGGATACAAAAAGTCATGTACAAAAAGATGCAAGTGTGTCAAAGCAAATCTCGAGTGTACACAGATGTGCTTCTGTTCAGGACAGTGTAACAGAGAATAAGCAAGCAAATCTGATCATATGAGACACTGACAGAGATCATTTAATGTTTTAACATAATACATGATACACCATTGAATTGCTTTTACACGGCATACGCGCGTGCCTTCTATTGCGTGCACTGCGTCTTCATGAAATCTGCATGATGAAACGACGTTTTGGCGGGCGCGCAGGCGTACCTTCCAAAGTGTAACAGAAATTATGAACTGAAGTATAGATGGCATACTTAAGTTTTTATCATAATTTTTCACGTGTTCTACCCAGTTCTTTGACCTAAAAAAACATTTTATATTGTTTTTGTTTAATTTGAAGATGTATGTTAGGATATTTCATGTTTTCCATCGGGTTCCTTGACATAAAAACAGGTATCCTATAACTAGATCCTGGTAATCGTGGCACGTATAGCCATTTTATGGCAAAGAAATGCGTTTGTGGCAGCCATTTTNGCAAATCTCGAGTGTGCTTCTGTTCAGGACAGTGTAACAGAGAATAAGAAAGCAAATCTGATCATATGAGACACTGACAGAGATTATTTAATGTTTTAACATAATACATGATACACCATTGGATTGTTTTTACACGGCATACGCGCGTGCCTTCTATTGCGTGCACTGCGTCTTCATGAAATCTGATGGAACGACGTTTTGGCGAGCGCGCAGGCGTACCTTCCAAAGTGTAACAGAAATTATGAACTGAAGTATAGATGGCATACTTAAGTTTTCATCATAATTTTTCACATGTTCTACCCAGTTCTTTGACCTAAAAAAACATTTTATATTGTATTTGTTTAATTTCAAGATGTATGTTAGGATATTTCATGTTTTCCATCGGGTTCCTTGACATAAAAACAGGTATAGATAACTAGATCCTGGTAATCGTGGCACGTATAGCCATTTTATGGCAAAGAAATGCGTTTGTGGCAGCCATTGTGGATTAAATTTTTTTGGCGGGAAGATATTATGATAGATCACATGTGTTCTATACCCGTTGTATGGGGTTCATTGACCTCAAAAACATATGTATATATAGAGACCAAGATCATGGTACTTGGGGCACTTACAGCTGATTTAAGGGCAAAACTGTGTTTTGTGGTGGCCATTTTGAATTTTCAAACTTTTGGCGGGAAGATCATATCTTATGATATTTGACATGTGTTTTATTGCATTCTTTGACTTCAAAAACATAGGTATATACACCAAGATCATGGTAATCGGGGCACTTACAGCTGATTTATGGGGATAAACATGTTTTCTGGCGGCCATTTTTAATTTTTGATTTTTTGGCGGGAAACGTTGGAGTGACATCGTGTTTCCCGCAATTTTTGAAATCAGTATACTCAAAACCCCCCTAGAGCAAATTTTCATGCTTCTTTCCAGAAGTGCACACCTCAGACACATATCCGCCCCACTACAGGGTACTGCCGGAACGTACCATGGGCACGGTCCGGTATACCGGAACGTACCCTGGTACCAGAGCATATAAACCAACGTGATTTATATGCTCTGCTGGTACTATCTAATATGCCGGACCATACCTCGCCTACTCCACTAACGAGTCTAGGCAGTCGCCTACGCTTACTCCCTAACAATATCAGATAGTTACCATGCAGGGTACGTTCCGGCAGTACCCTGGTGGACATAGACCCTATATGAGCGTCAGGGAGGCGCGGGCTAACGAAATGCTGGCGTAACATTGTAGTGCATACGTACACGTGTTTAAGCTGTTAAGTTGGGCACGTGGTCAGTTATGTTATACCGGTCGTACGGAAAATTACAGAGCCAGGGGCGGATCCAGGGCTGAAGCTAGACAGTATTTTTCCAGATTTTAAGGGCACATCCCCCAAAAAGGGCACACCACCCCACAGTGGGCGCCGTTAGGTGCGGAAGCACATGGGGGGGGGGGCTCGCCCAGGAAATTTCAAAATGTCAAGGGTTCCTGCATGGGCACAAAAATTAACACCATTTGAGCACACATTTAGTCAAGCAGCAATTAATAGCTAAAAACCATATACAATTTTATTTCTGCTTCATTTTGCCTGCGCTTTGCATACCAGCAATTAATGCAGAATGATTCAAGCACTTCCCTTCTTTTTCAGATATCATAGCTAGTTTTGTTACCATGTAAAATTTTGATTTCCTTCCAGTCCTGTCAATGAATCAGAAGAAAAAGAAAACAAATAAAGAATATAGCCAATTTCCATCAAATTGTTTTCTGTATTTTTCAGCGCAAAATTTCGAAGGGCACTTAATAAGGGCACTCCCAATACGGCAAATACGGTCTGAATCCGCCCCTGAGAGCTGTATATATAATAACTTATTGCTATCTTATAACTAAATTATATTGTTATATTGTATATTTTTTGTTATATTGTTATTATATACAGCTTTTACAGTAACGGAAAACACTACACCTCAGACTAACGAATACACAGACTCCACAGACCATGGCGTGGACCATAGAAATGGATAGATAACCATAGGTTAGGTTATAACCTAACCATAACCTAGGTTATCTCTATCTATTTCTATAGCGTGGACACTGCGCTATTTAAAACGGCTCCCTGTCAAAACCTGGACCGTCAAAACCTGGACCGTCAAAATCTGGACCGTCAAAACCTGGACCGTCCATGTTGTCACAGGACCCTAACCCTAACCCTAACCCTGTACATCGTTTTCATATACTTGCGTATCTACCTACCTACTACGTAACTACGTCGACGACTGCAATAGACTCCGTACTTCTCTCGCCGAGTGAATTTGGGCCCAAAATTTTTCCAACGTTTACTCAAAATTTCAGTGAAACATATCTAAATTCAATTGCCCCCCCCCCGAGTTATAGAGTCGATGAGTAAGCACGTACATTGTTCATCATAGGATAGTCAGTTGATGGCCTATTTAATTATCTATTTATTTAGCATAAATATAGCAAAACACGGAGACACATCTACAAACGACAAAAAAAATAAATACACATTCAGAAGTAAAATGGACAGACTGCACGCTTTATAAACATTTTCCCTGTGACAACATGGACGGTCCAGGTTTTGACGGTCCAGGTTCTGACGGTCCAGGTTTTGACGGGTCACCATTTAAAACAGTATGCGCGTGCATGCTCATGGGACTGCCTATAGCGAATAGAACGAAACATTGCAGTTTGCTACATATATATACTAACACTAGTAACAGTAGCAAACTATGATAATGTATTTTTACAGCTATTAAGTAGATACGTAATTTTAGAAAGTAAATTATTATTATAATTATAATTATAATATTTATAGGATTTACGTTCCTAGGTAGGCTTTGCCTCAGTAAACGACCAAATAGAATGAATATTTACATGATATAATATGACACATATATATATATATATATATATATATATATATATATATATATATATGACAGAGAGCGTCTGTGCGCGCGCGTGCGAGCGTGTGTGTGAGTGCATGCACTCACACACGCGCACAGACGCTCTCTCTCCCGCGCGCGCACATACGCTCTCACTCCCGCGCACGCACAGACGCTCTCTCCCCCCGCGCACAAACACATACACAGACTATTATATTATGTCAGTTATTATATATAATATATTAACTGCCAGAGAACCATCCTCCTTCATCTGTAGCCACTGTGCGAGAGATTGCCATTCCAGAGTGGGTCTCTACAGCCACTCAAGGAAATGTTCTATCACCTAACTCAAATGCTACACCATAGTCTCCCGAGACGCACGGATGCCGACGACGACGACGACGATATATATTAGCCTCCTAGATGATGTTAATTTTAGTTGACTGCTCTATTCGCCAGCAGCAGCGTGATCGAACCGCTTAACAAGCAGGGTATAGGAAGTGTCTAGTCTTCCTTAGTCTGTGACTACACCACTTATTTAATGCAAAAACATTTGCTACAGGTGCTCCATTTGACCCAAGGAAGGAGATCTATTTAAGGCACGGAGGGCAAGCAACTAACAAAACCAAAAATCTGATATACATGGACATTTATCATTTATTTCTGAAACTGTAGGTATAAATATTACAATGGCTATACATGATCATTTATCACCCCTCCCCCCATGCGAAACCTGTCCCCAAACTACACGACAGCAGCATTTTTGTTCTAATATCAATAACAGCTACATATACATGTAATCACTACTAACTATCACCATTTACTTTTCTCCACTTAGTAATATGATTAACATCATCCTCTCTTATATACTCTCCTACTTATTTTCAACTGCGGTGTAATACATAAGATATCATGGTATAGAATTCAAAATACCAAATATATAGCAGCTTGAACCTATTTTTAAGATAATTGATTATTAGTTTAAGGCAAATTAGACAATTTCCGACTCGATATAATAGCACCCGCAAAAACATGTCAGTGTAACAAGAATCTTTAACACACAGAGACTAATTAAATTGGAGTTCTATATTATCAATTTTCTCTCTCTCTCTCTCTCTCTCTCTCTCTCTCTCTCTCTTTCTTTCCCCCATCAAAGTCGTTGAATATACACTAACATGTGCAACTTTTATGTTATGCTTGATTGCTCATAACATTTTTTTGGTTGCCATACATCGGACACTTGTACAGCTATTTCACTCACAACAAAATATTAAACATGAATACAAATTACGTATTATGATAGTCCATAATCACCACTAACAGAAGACCAACAGCATAATCTAGACGATTAGAACACAACGTTCGGTGTCTCAAAGCATCCTGTTTCAATCCAGTTAATCGACTGATCATGATGATATTAATATATGTGTTAGTAAAATATAACCGCTTTGAAATTGGAGAAATTCTATGACACCCAAGCATTCGTGTATATCAGAACATGCATCACGTGATTACACGACATCTGTATGAACATCACTGAGTTGTATTACCCTTAAAGTACAATCAGGAGTCGATCTTGAATACATCTTATTAGAATTCTAATTAAAGCCTTAATTAAGTATGACAACACAAATGTCAGTGATCGTGACATAATGATATTTTATATAAATGATTTGCTGGTACAGCAAGCGTTCTCATATGAAGAAACCCTGACATTGGAACCCAAACCTTAACAGCGGATATGTCTTTACAATAGTGCAAGCAGTAGTAGAGTTTAACATCTGTATGATCATTGTCGGTAATACAGACCTCACTCAACTGTGAAGCTGAATGGAATTACAGTCTGGTCCCTAATTTCTAGCCCACATTAGCTGGACTATCAGGGGTTCTTGGACAGTTGGTCAACTTCCACTCACTACTAGACAACACTAATGAACGTTATGCCAAAGCAAATGACAAAACACCAAGCAGACTATGAGCTAATTAGTTCCACGTAGTTTGCTGGAAACAGTCCATACGTGCCATCTGGTCCAAAGCCCCTCCACCAACCTGGGTCTATTTGGTCAACATGTGTTATGGTGTCATCCGGATCAAAAGTTATTTCTGTCTCATCAGCTGAAAAAAAACCGCAGGGTCACAATCTTAGGTAATAAAAACTACTGTACTTTGAACAGAGTACAAAAATTACATATACAACAAGGAATTATATTTAGCATGGTGATAGGAAGTAAGACATAAAAAAGTAATAACCCTTGTTATTCTAAAACATGATTAACGTTACCGAATTTTGTGTGTTCCGAATGCTAATTCCTCCCTAATGCACTACTTACATGATGCAGGGTGTATTACTGGATTGTAAATAAACAGCAGAACCTAAAGCATCAAGAATAAGTAGCAGAATTTGATAGGGTTAGGGTATATAGAAAAATGCTGTGATGTTCAACGAACCTGCTTGATAGTCATAGAGAGCACGTGCGCTCTGGTTTGTGTATGGTATCTCAAATTCTCCCTCCTCTTCCTCTTCAGCAGCAGCACCCATCTGTTCCTCCTCCTGGAATGTTTCTATCTCTGCTTCCTCATCGTCATCCTACAGCAAGCAGCAGCACACATTTTAGAAAGAAATTTGTTTTTCAATATTTTGGAGAAAAACATAGAACAGACTATAGGAGAACATCATGATACAGGACTAATTATACATAAATTACATGACAGCATTCAAAGACTGGACCAGTGAGGAAGTTTTCTTTTTTTGTTGCAACATATCTTGCTGGGTTTTATACCATGCTCATTGAATATTAAAAACGTATTGAATACGAAAGAATACTATTGATACTGAATAGTGCACATTTGCAGTTAGGTACAACAGGACTTGTTTCAGCTGTCTCGTAATACTCTAAGTTATACGTGCCTCGGTGAGAGAAGGAGGAACTCGTTGTGGTGTCAGGTGAGGTGGTTCCGGGGCTTCTGTCACCGAGCGCCGCATCTCCTCCTCGATAAGATGCTGCTCTGTCTCCGCGGTGACCGTCGGACCCTCCTCAAGAGGTGGCTCTGCAAGATGTTGTAAACAAGTGGCCTCTAGTGCTTGCTGGGGTCAAAACTTTTATATGGCAAAACAAGTTTTCCTTTCTTTTACTACATATCACCTTTTCACTCTCTTCCACCCCATCCCCTTTCTGTGCCTCTCAATGTACCTTGTTCTCACTTACCTTCCCAGTCCTGATCCTCTTCCTCTTCTGGGGACTCCACGCGTGGCGGTAGCCCCTCTGCCAGCAGATTGCGCGTGTGCGGCGGCACCGCTGGCTCGGACATCGTCTTCACAGGGCTTGGCTGGCGTTCAGGTGTTGGTTCTCTATGCGGTGGCGATGGTCCCCTGGCTGGTGGGCTGGGCTCCCTTCTCACAGGTGGTGAGGGCTCTCTCTTCGTGGGAGGTGAGGGCTCTCTCTTCGTGGGAGGTGAGGGCTCTCTCTTCGTGGGAGGTGAGGGCTCTCTCTTCTTGGGAGGTGAGGGCTCTCTCTTTCGAGGGGGTGATGGCTCTCTCTTCTTGGGAGGTGAGGGCTCTCTCTTTCGAGGGGGTGATGGCTCCCGGGCTAGTGGCTGGGGTGTCACCTTGCTGGGAAGTGAGCTGTCTCCGGCAGCAGCTGGGACCACTGGTAGAGATCTGCTTGGTGCTTCCTGTAAAATGCAGTCCAGGCTTGAGGGTGATACCACAGTAAAGCTACAAACGTGTGGAATTCCTAGTGATGGCCATTTCCACAGTAACAGTGCATCGTAACTCGGCTATCTTGCAGAATCTTTACAGGGTAAACAAGCATAGAGTATGCAATACAAAGCAAGACATACAATACGAGAACATATCAAATGCTTGGCCCGACTGTTTACACTTCTGCAAGCTTGCATTGCAATTCTACCTCATGGTCTGCTTATCTGGTCCCACAGCACCTGGGTAGCAGTCTGCCATGTTGCTGTGGTGCTTTGGTTTACTGCTTGCCTAACCATTGTTGCCTTTAATTGCTAGCCTACCTATCTGATTTAGGCTACCAGCTGCGTAGATTTCCAACCCACCTGTTGCTCTTCCTGCTTAGCCTTCCAATCTCGCAGCACCTTTGGTGGCGGTCTGCTATGCCGCTGCGCTGCTGGGGTTATGTGCTGCTCAAACATGGCTCGTGGGTCGGCTCCTCTACGCTCCACAAGCTCATTTGCCTCCTATATATATATATATATATATACTGGCTTGTATATGCATCATTTAACAGAGCAGTAAGAACACAAATGAAGTCTTATCAATTCTAAACCACTACATATATGAAGCATTGCATGTTTCTTGCATCATGGTAGGTTACGGATTAAATATCACAGCTATACCTTCTGCATGCCTAACTGTCACATCATTTATCACATCACTGCTTATTATCATCACATATCATTATAATTCGTATATGGGAGAGTAAGCCCGGATGGGTTGGTGTATATCAACCACATAGCTGCATATGTCAACCTTACTTCCGTCAATCACTATTGCTTTACCTTGAGTCGTTCCTTACGGAGTGAGTCAGCCCTTCTCCTCCGTTCTGCATCATCCTCTCGTTCTAGACTTGCTTGCTCCTCTTCCTGTGTTGTTAAAATTTATATTTTGTTATGTGACTGTAAAACATACTGCATTGTAATTGGTGCAAAGCATGTCATATGTCATAAAAAAAGAAAACACCTAGAATGTCATTAAAAAAAACTCAGCTTCTACACTACCAGATAACCTGCTGCACCAAATAATTTCGCACGCGTATACCTATATAATAATTTACCTAACAAGCTTTACACAAATATTTTATTAAAATTAACTAGCAGATGAAAGCTCACCCATTTCTTCTTATCTTCCTCGGTCTTGGAAACGTTCGCCATGCGTTCAGCCTCGCGCTGAGAGCGGACACTGGCGGCTCTCTCCCTGGTTATCTTGTCTCTATGCAGGCCTTCTTTCTCCTGTAAGAATTGCAAGGGTTATATATTGATAAGCACTATTCACAGTGCACAGTGGGCAATTGTAAATCGTCAGTGACAGGTCTGCTTACCGTCTACTAATGCCTTCATAAAATGAAATAGCACTGCTTCTTCAGGGATGGAAAACGGCATTCCTACTGATTGGAAGAACATATTTACTAAAACCTGCCCACCTTCCCACCCACGTTGCTCTCTCATTGCTCATATCTATTTAAATCATGCTCTCCAGGTGCAACGAAAAAAATCACAGATAAATACACAAACCTATTGAATGTTGTCACAAACGACATTGCCCGGATTCACAAACACACCAACAACTCCATTCTTCTCACACCACCCTGCTCTCCTTTACTTTTCCAAAACAAGTCCAGATCAAAATTCCCAAACAATCCCGAAAGGCTGCAAGCGTATGACGTACACGACATCACATTTGTGTCAAATGTATTGAAAATACATTGAATATGTTGATATGAATGTATTCAAAATTATTTTACTTAAATATGGTAAGTTCATTATTTCATGACGATTGTAGTACAATACCTCTCTGACCAATCTCTCTCCCTCAAGTTTTTCCGTTTCTGCCTGTGACTTCTTCCGATCTTCAGTTTTTCTCTTGCGTTCTTCAACCTAGGTGAACCACACACGGTTGTTAATTTCACGTTTTGGAGCTCTAGCTGGCCCAATCATAAAGCAGATCAAGTCATTCACCAGTGATTATAACTACTATCAAAATCGTATGTATCGCAATACATATCGTATCGTGAAAGGTTTATTATAATGCAGATTATATCTGGAGTTACCCATATCATCCCACCCCTAATGTATATCCCCCCGAACTGATCAAACTCATTTGTGTATTGGTGATTGACTCTAGCAACTAGCAATCGGGGATGAATTGCCTGGTTATCCGACATGCCTTCTGCCATACTCAACAATAATAAAAGCATGCAGGGCTTGCATGTAGTTGGCACCAGCAAAAGTACTCGTGTTTAAAGGAATACTTTACTCTAGAATTTGAGAGTATATTATGATAATAGATTTATAAATAATAGCACATACCTATAAATATCTATAATTACGCATTCACGTTTGTCATAAAACAACATTGAATTTCAAAATCTTCATTTTTGGGCGCTGACATGACACCCGCGACCGTGCTGCCACCCCAAAAAAATCGCGTATTTGACAATTTATTTTGCACGTTACAGACCGAAGGCTAATCACAAAAGTGCAATTATATTTATACCTAAATGCTATTTAACCGAACGATAATTCATTTTAGGGCAAATTTATCCATATTATAACTGAAACTACATGTCGTTTATAAGATATTGCAATCCTTCTGCTTTTAAGGCCCGCTTATGTCGGCCTTACGACCTAGTCGCCGACAAGATTTCAATATCGTACGTCAAAAACCGGCCAGATCGCCGATAAAAACATCGGCGACCAAACTCGACATGAGTGCTCTTACGATCGAAAATACGGTCGCCGACTGTGATCGCAGCATATCGCAGGAATAGAACATGTTCTATTTCTATGCGGCTGTCGGCGACAAATCGTGAGTGGCAGCCAATCACCGCAGCGTGTCGAGTCACATGATTATCAAAAGTCACGTCATTAATAAAATGGCAGCCTACACGCCACTCGTCAGCAGTTTACAAAGAGGGATTATTGCACAAACCCTTTCTCAAATATATATTAAGTTTTCCGTAATCACATGAAAAAAAATTCTGCACATGATTATAACGATGTTCAGAAAATTGAGGATAGATTTACGAAGTTACATGATGTTTACTGGTAAGCGCCATTTTGTTGTTTACGTACGTGACTCGTTTTATGTAGACTGGTCCCGGCGTCAAACTTGCTCTGTTTGTGCTAAAGAACTGCTTGTGCTAGTACAAATACTGGGGCCGCGAACCCGTCTACGTTTCATGCAGGAACGCTACGATCTGATCGGCGATGTACAAGCGTAGTCACTCCAAGTCGACATGAGTGGTGCTACGCTGCTAATCGGCGATAAATTAGTCGCCGATAGACAAATCGTAGGCCGACATAAGCGGGCCTTTAAATTAATAAATAAGAAACACCCTCGGTCTGTAGCCCTTGGCTGAAAAGTCCTTTTGCGCAACTTTTAAGATAGTGCGCTTTGAGTGTATAAATCGTTGTAATCAAACTGTAGTCGTTAGTTTTAAAACATAAAAAAAAATGTCTAATGGTGATTAATTGAACCATGAAATTTTTAATGTAACGTAATTTTAACCTAAATCAACTGAAAATAACCCTAGAACCTAGAGTCCAGTATTCCTGTGTTCTCGGTTATGACCAGCAGATTCCTCATGACATAATAGAATGAAAGTGTCAAAGACACTGTAGCTCACCACAAAAAAGGACACAAATGAGTGACTAAGAAGATGTCAGTTTTAATTGAGCAACCATCGACGTACATTATAGAAACGATTGCCATCTATATATCGCAATAATAATTTATAAACCAAAATGAATCACAATTTGTGACCGTAGATGGCGCTATACCCGCTTTGTAGCGATGGCGTTTGAAATAAATAGGTTATGCTGCGTTCCAAAATGTTTTGTAAATCTTTACTTTAATATAGACGTTTTATCGGCAGGGTGGAGAGGAAATACCAATTTTGCATTAAAGATATTGTCAATGAAATCTTGTAAAACGAACCAGACGAGTGTGACACCACAGACTGTTTGTGTCGATATAATATGCTATATAATTGCCAAACCCTACCTAATTTGCATAATTTTTTTTTAAATATAAAAACCCCTAGCCCTTTATTCATTCACATACCAAAAATGAGCAAAATCCGTTGAACCTGAACTGACTAATGGCAATTCCCACTTTTGCCAAAAAATTGCCGTGGCTCGAAAGTACGTCGACTGGCGTGCTTCAAAATAGGACGTTTGATATGGGAGCATAGCAGTAACAACTATACCCAATTTCAAACATGTGGGCCAAACGGTTCCTGAGTTATCGTTGACCGAAGCAAAATGTTGACGGACGGACGGACGGACGAACGCACGGACGTACGGACGGACGTACGACGGACGACGACCCATGGCAATAGCTCAGCTTGACGATGTCAAGGTGAGCTAAAAACAACAACCAGCACTAGGGCCATTAAATATACGTTCAAAATAAATATGACAAGAATATACTACCTCAGTCTGCTCCCAGAACTCATCTCGTGCAGAAGCATCAATATCCCTTTCAGGAACGATTCGTTTGTAAACAGAGCCCTGAAACCACATGCAGAAGAATCAAGCTATTGCTAATCAGTATGAGGATGAAAGCGGAGACACAGTCTTCAGTTTAGACAGACCAGTTAACCTCTCCAATCCTCCCGATGTACATACTACTCTGAACGGTAATGCAGATGTGTGTGGAGGGAGGGGGCCTGAAGGTTGTGCATACTTATTACTCAATGTACACTCCATTCTTAATTGCATGACCATGCCACTAGTTTTTAATGCTATTGAGAATGTTTATTATTAAAGAGATATGTTAAATTGCAGTAATCATTGGTAGACATTATCTTAAAAGGTAGAAATGTGATACGGACGTAAAATGGAACTCAAGTAAAAAGCACAAGTATGCCTCATATCAGGACATGGAAAAGTCACAGCATGGGGCACAAGCATGTAATGTTGTTGATGCACAAGGATCACATGGGCAGATAATATGCTGCTAACGCCATTGTAGAGAACATGGTGGTTGCTGTACGCACCACAGGCTTTGTCTGCAGTGGAGGCTTGGGCTTCTCATGGAAGTTGAACGATGACACAGTGGACTTGGAGATCTTATCCATGATGGCATCCACTTCCACATCATCGTCTGTTCGTGCATTGATGGTCACATGAGCCCCCTGCACAAAAGTTATCATCACTCAGATGAGCATGTACATGCAAAAGGTTTCTCTGTGGGAAGGCCATGATGAATACAATTAAGTGACTATATGGGTTTCCAGATAGAATGGATTGCACACTTGAAGACATGAGCTCTTCTTAGGCAAAGAAACTTTTAAAGAATCATGTGATTTCTTAATGAATAAGTTGATTACATAGTATTGTGGGTAGTATAGAACATAGATAGATATTGTCCATTGCATGAACAGATCAATTATATACTGTTGGATTGCTGTGTTATTAAAGATGTCCCTGTAGTTTGTGTTTAATTACCAGGAATATGATTGCACATGTGCTGTCATAAACACGACCTTGACAAAGGAATACATCAGATGATGATAAAACCTGTTTAATGTGGTGAAGTAAATGGTCTAGCTTGCATCACGATTATTTCGATCATTCAATGGAAATCGTTTTTTTTTTTAGATGCGAGTGGTATAGACCACTTTCCCACAGTGACACTTAATGAGGCACCTATATGTGCAACATGAAAATAACAGAGAGATACATTTTAGAAGAACTTTAACAATCTCAGTTGACTCATACATGTATGAAAACACAAAAACAACATTTCACTTAAATACGAAAACCGATTTCAACATACAATTAACAAACGACCATGAGATATAGTTTAATAAACTAGTTTTGTCTTCATCAGATACACTAAGATCAAATGCATGTTTGAATATTCATTTATTTACAATACACAATATCAATTCACATTTTATATACATATAGGCATTTTTCAATAATAAAAAAAAAGGTTCTTTCATGTTTAATCTACACGTTATGATTGGCGTTTACACGGGCAGTGAATATAAGACGTGCAATATTCCTCTTTCCATCATCAGGAGCACCAAATGAATAGCGCCTGCTTATCAATTCTCCATACACACACACAATAAAAAAACGTGATAACACATTTACTCAAATACTATATTATAATGCATATTTCAAGTGTGGATGCGATTTAATCACGGGTAAAAAAATCCCCGTATAACTACTCCTTCATTTGAAATATTAATTTGCACAAGTTTGCACATTCAGTTTTCTGTATCCTCTTACAACAAAAACATCACATGCATATATAAAACATTGAAAATATGGCACTAAAAATAATAAAACCATAAAAAATAGCTAAAATATAGATCTTACATCTTGAGGTAAAGAATGGGTCCTTTATATTTCTAAAGAAGTGCTACTATGTGTATTTAACACGTTGCACAGAACAAACACTGGGACATTCACCCAATGCTGACTAGAATGTGCATAAAATAATGCATTAAACGGCACTACTTTATTAATATAACAAATGAGACAGCACTTTAAAGTTGACCATGAGACAATCCACAATCATCATTTGCCATCATTGAAATTCTCCTTCTATTGCATGCAGCTGTATTTCCATCTTTCTGCTAGCCCTTTGATGCTATTCTGTCGGTGGTGCTCATGCATCGTTCAGAGGCCGAGAGACAGTAGCCCGGCGGTGACAATGTGATTCCCATCACACCTTTGAAGTCGGGCATGTCACCACCAGGTGGCAGCGTAAAACGGAAGCGCTGAAGCAGGTTGCCAAGGTAGAGAAACAGTTCTTTTGAAACAAGATGCTGGCCAAGACATGCTCGCCGCCCTACAACACAAGAACATGCAGTCATGAGAACCCTTCACACACTAATCATGCGAGTTAGTCGCATCAATGACAGCTCACTGTAAAATAGGTGAATACAAATGTTTAATGCAAGATGTTCGATTTTTATTCACTCGTGTAACATATTGGCACATGGCAACAAACGTAGCTCAGTACACATACTATAGCTGCCCAGAGGCATCATCTATCAAATAAAATAAGTATTGAAATTTTGACCAAATTTCACCTACAAACTCTGAGTGTATCCTTAAACTTTTGCAATGAAAGATTGAAGTGCAAAGTCGAACAGGCCTGAAGTTCTTAGATGAGAGCTTCTTACCTGCCGAAAATGGCATCCATGCATTTGGTTTACATAGCTTGCCATTGTCAAAGAAACGGTCAGGGTTGAAGAGGTCTGGGCGGTGCCAGTGGCGTGGATCTTTGTGGATGGCCCACTGCAGGCCAACAACAAATGCACCCTTGGGTATGTGATAGCCCCTCAATGTCGTATCATGCTTCACACCTGTAGATAGAGAGTAGGCAATAAATAAAATGTCCTCAAATCTGGAGTAATGTTACCTTATAAGAATATTTAACGTTTCTATAGAATATATTTATATATACATCTATGTTTCTATATATAGAATATATAGTACATAAGAGTTTATATTAGTTTACATGCTACCTGATGTAATTCATTTGGTTGGTAGACTTTTTGACATTGCATATTGCAAAAGAATTTTGATTTTACTTAATAATAATATTATGATGTATCATTAAAAAAACTCTAGAATGCCTGGAAAACCAAGACATCAAATTACAAACATGGAGCCACCATTAACAGCTCACTCACCGTGAAAAACACCAAGTGGATTGATACTGGCTACCCTGTGTACTTCCATGATTGTTGCTTCTAGGTAGGGCAGATTCTTTCTATCCTGTAGACGCACCATGCGCCCCTGACCTACCACTCTGTAACAAAACGCAGTCCGAACATTAGCCCAACGCATTCAACACGGTGCACCTCTACTTCAGTATGTAATGGATATATGAGAATCTGACACGTTGCTAAAACACTATTCACATAATAATTTTATGGTTTGTCTATCCATTCTACACCAAACAGCAATAGAATTTCCGTTCTCTGAACTGTAATTATGTCTGTTCACGTCAGGAGGAGCTTACCGATCTATGTCAGCCTGAATGCGCTCCTGTACTTCAGGGTGTTTAATGAGGTAGAGTAGAGCCCACATTAGTGTGCTCACAGTAGAGTCAAAGCCGGCACTGAATAGATCACAAAGTGCTTGCACAATATGTTGCTCTGCAAAGAATACAAGAATGCCTGTTAGCAACAAAAAACCAATCTCCAAGTAAAATACACACATTTATCATCATGGAAACTAATAAATTATTACAACGGTAATGAAATAAATGATGACGTATATGCGTATATGTATTTCTGTGCATCAGTGTTGTTACAGAAGTACATGTGAAAGTGGTAGTGTTTGATAAGTTTGTACGTATTTCTACCTGAGAGGCCATCGACGGATCGACCATCTTCCTGCTTTAACAGGTACGCATCTGCCAAGTGCTGACCACTGCTGCCATCTAGTGTCTGTCTGTGCTCATCTAGGATCATCTTCACAAAGCGTGTTGCTGCAGAGTGGCTTTTTCTCACTTCCGCACCAGCCGAGCGAAATCCTGGCACTGCCTTTAGCATAGGCAGGAAATTCATCAGTATGATCTGAAATAAATCGAGAAGAATAAGCCATCTATATGATGTAACCACTATTAATACCTATAAAATGAAAACGTACGTGAGAAGTGCTCAGTAGTCCTTTCCAGCACAAGTAATGTGATGGGGGAACTCACTGCCAGCAGGACAGCTATCATCTGAGACTAGTGTCCGGCATTGAGAATTGCCACAAAGATATCTGCACCACTCGGACTAGAACTCTCCTTTGCATTGATGCAAAACTGCCTACCTTGCCAAATGCCTGTAAGCCTTTCTCCTGCTCAGTGAGGAAACTGGCAACCTTGGGACTGTCATAGTCCAGCGTTGTGTTCATTAACAGAGACAGAATCAAGTTGTTTACGCTGCTTCTAAACAGCCCTGCAAGCAAAAGACAAGACACGTGTAAGGCCATACTGTTACTGCTGGTGGTTCAAACTTGACTTCCCTGCTTAACTTTAATGATTCAACCTTTGTAATATTTTTTTAAATCTTGGGAAGATTGCCTAATAGATTTGGATAATGCCCAAAATTATGACCGTATTCACAAACAATGACTTTAAATAATTAATTATAACATAACTTAAATAATTTATATAAAATGGTATAGCCATTTAATATTTTAAAAACATAACTGGTTCATATTTGACTAAAACACTAGTACAATCTTTTTACGTGCAAGAATTTTTCACATGCTAGGTTCCACTAAGTAGTGCACCATGAAATGATTTCCCATTAGCTTTAACTCGAACAACCAGTCAGAATCTTGCAAACTAACTTTTTTCCTAATACAGTGATGTGTATAATAAATATATCCCCATAGTACTTATGAATCTAATGGTCAAAAAATTTGCCTACCAATTAACGAATTCGTAAAATGATGTGCTGCATTACCGCGAACCAGAAATATCTCAGCGATGGCATAACAATGACATCACTGTTCAATGCCATAAATACATTAAATTTTCCAAGGTTACATTCCAGTCAGATAACATAATGGTTTGATTTGTATAACTGGTTATGCTGGCAGCATTCCCGGAGCATTCCGCAGCATTCATGAATAACCTTCACTTCAAACCAACGCCACAAGTCCGAACCAGCTCCGTGTACAGAAACTTTATTACAGAGGTATGTGATACCCTCTTACCTTCTCACTCTCTACATGCCTACACATCCCCGTCCTCACTACATTCATCCCTACAACTCCCCCTTCTCACTCACTACACCCATACACCTTCCCCTCCTCAATAACAACATGCCTATACCTCCCTTCCTCATTCAGTACATTCACGTATCCCCCCCATCTTCACTCCCCACATCTCACCCTTTTCATTCTCTACAACCCCACCCACCACCCTATCCATATCTCCCTATCCCTCATCGTGCTCAGCGGTGTGTGTGCCTACCTCTGACGTCGAGTGGCCTGCCATGCTGTAAGGTGATAAAGCGGGACAGCCGCGTCAGCTCTTCTATCATCGCCCGCTCGAGGGCGCTTGCGATGCCCGTTTCGGCGTCAGGACGTTCCAACAACCGCCGCCACTGCAGAAATATGCGACGGTGCTGCTGCAGCACCGCTCCCTCCGACTGGAAGATTCCTGAAGACGCAAGATGAACATTACATCATTTTTCTGTTAAAATTACACGACATTATCGCAGAGTAATTCCCACTAGGGGCGCGCCAATGCACTCAGCAATACCAACTCTCATATTACATCTCATAATATGACTTATAGAATTAGATTACACTCAACAAAGCACATTTCAGTAGTAAAAAACAGGTGCTAACGATGAGAGAGGTAAGGCCATCAAAAATAGAAGCTATACCTGGCACGTCAAGTACCACGATGGAGGAAACACACCTACCGTATGTGCCAATGATGTCATCTGACTCTCCCACCTGTGGGTGAGCACAGAACTCCTCTCTCCTGAATGCTTCGCGCACCAGTGCTGGGTCAGACAGCACGATCACCTGCTTGCTGCCAAAGTACACGCTAAACAGACCCTCTGTAATAAAGAGTTAAATAGAAGCTGAGTATGCTTACAGGATGGCTTCAGACCAAGTAATCACTCAAAAGTAATTCGTAATTAGATGCTGGCAATGACTGCCACATCATCTAGCAATGTTTCAAAACATAAATTTATAGTCAGAACGACATATTTATCTTACTGCATGAGAAAGAGAAAGGGAAAAGAGAGGAGAAAAGTGGGAGAGAGGAGAGAGAGGCAAGACAAGGGAGAGAGAAAGAGTAAAAGAGAACCAGAGAGAGAAATAGGAAAGAAAAAGGGCAAGTGAGAGAATGTGAGGTATGGTGGGAGAGGGCAAGGAGAGGAGGGATTGGTTATCTAATGCATACACGCACACATGTACAAGATTCCTTCCAACTCAACCTATTGGTTCAGACAAATTATCACACGCGAAAAAAAAACCACACAAAATTTGAACCAAAAAATCCCTCAGTCGCGCATATGCAGTCTTTCCCTATAAATATGTAGGACTTGATATAGAGAATGAGCAATTAAATCTCAATTATTGTCAGTACAATTTTTGATAATTACCCCTCGAATTACTAACGGTTTATGCGTTTGAATGCCACAGGTGAGACTCATGCATAACAAGTTCTCTTAGAGTATGCATAAATAACTGCCTTTTTGCTACCTCATTATTACATTAAACTGTTGTACGTGGCTAACAGAATTAGCTGAAGATATATGCCTCTTAATGGTTACATCAAAACGGAGGCCATTCCAACACCCCCCCCCCCCGGATAACAAACAAAACTCTGTTCTGACATTTTGTACACCAGAAATGCTAGCCAGAGAAACAGGCGACAGATTCTAGCAATATCAAACGTCGCACATGAAAGAAAGCTCGCTACTTTACTTAGGGCCCCCTTAGGGCATTGGATCTATTTTTATCCCAAGAGACGAGAGACCTAAATCCTACCTAATTCTTTCTGACATTTTTTTACTGTTGTGCAATGAAACTGGTTGCGAAATGTGTGTAGACTATTTTGAGACACCTGAGAGCGCTGCTTGCACCCGAGGTCGACGTTACACAAGACCGAACCATTTTTTAAAAGCTATTAATGTGCACAATCACTGTGATAGAACTGCTAATGTGTACAGTGACCGCTCGTCACAAAGCAGTGTAAAAAAAAGGTCCAACCCCTAGTTTAAAAAAAAACTACTTTTGCGCGAGGTACAAACATCAGAGAATTCAGTTTCATTCGTTTTTTTGCATCATTGCGTAAACAAGTCACAACGTGACCTCAGAACATTCGGAAACATTATCGGTTCATTCAACTGACCGTCTTCTGAGCATACTACACTTGTTTTCACAACAAAATCTCCCAAGCGCATAGCGAATTTCGTCTACACACACGCCACAGCACTTTGCATTTCTCTGTCCGAACCACTGGGCGTCCAAGACTGCCATATAAAACGTAAAAAGTATCGCTGCACGTACAAGACTCCATTAACAACTTCACGACGATAACTCACCTGGGTACCTCTCCATTGCTAGCTTTGTTAGATAGAGGAAGGGCAACTCGCCCATGTGCAGGAGACTTCCGAACACAGGCCACCCCCACGGGCCGGGTGGCAGCTTCCTCCACCACCTCGCCTTCAGCCAGGGAGACACTTGGGTTAGGATCAGTACGCATAGAGCTGTGACGATTATTCCAGTGGTGCCTAGTGCACCAATGACTCGCTCAGCGAACGCCATTATCTGAAAGTGAGTAATAAACGCTTGAACGGCTACGAATCGCCCCCCAAATGTCCTATAAAAGGACACTACTGGTGACAGGTTACAACATAATATATCAATTACATAAAAGTAGTGATAACTAGTTGGCGTATCTATCGAACTAGTTACTCTATAAATCGGTATCTATCATAAACTACAATTGCATCGGCGACTCATAAAATACTGCAATAAAATAGTTTTTTTATGAACCATTTCAATGCAGACATTTTCAGTCGCCAGTATTTTATGGGTCTGTCCTGAAGGAGACCCTTCCAAACCCATTGAGAATTTTACGCTGCCATTCACGGGACGCTATTGTCGGCGTTCTCACAGCACAAAGAATTGCAGGTGCACGGAGCAACATGCACGAGCAAAACGGGAAAACTTTCGCACGAGTCGAACTTACCTCTTGTGAAACGTGCTGGGTGATCGAACTTGACTTTCTAATTCTCACTCTCACTTTTTCGATTGCGCCTCCTCCTTCTCGTGTGTGCGTGTGCGCGTGTCTATTTGCGTGTGCGTGTGGCGAAATGACGCGGCGTGTGAGCTTCTCGTTGCTCGGCGGAGCCTTGTATGGATGAGGCGAGACGGCATGCGCGTCTTTTATACGGATCCGGTGCTGTTGACCTAACGGCCGTGGGGCAGGCAGGTGATCCAGGTGAGTAACCTCTGCTGCTGCTACCGCTGCTGCCGCCGCCTCCGCCACTCTCTCGCCCTCACAGCTCACCGGCCTTGGCCAACTTCCCGTGTTGTGAAATCCGCCGCGCACGGGCCCGCGGGCGATGCCGTCTGTCATGGTGCTCGGCATGCAGGTGCGTGCATGCATGCATGCATCTGTGCGTGCGTACGCGCGCGCGTGTGCAAGCATACGTGAACGACTGTGTGCGTGCGTGTGCGTGTGCGCGTGCGTGCGTGCGGGCAGGCGGGCGTGCCGTCGTCGTTCGTCACGGCAAGGTGTTGGCGCGCGCCGGGAGCAGCAGCCAGCAGCAGGTACGTAATAATCCAGCAACAACGCTAACGCAGGCAACCACGCGAGTGCCAGTTACTCAGCTTTTCTCTGCTGCTGCTGCTGCTGCTGCTGCTGCTGCCACTGCTGACACCTTGACCCATTTCTCGCATATGTTAACCCGGCGAATAGCAGATCCCTTATTGACAGAAAGTGAAAGCGCGGCTGCGGCCGGTGTCCGGGTGAGCCGAGAAGGGGGTGGGAGGAGGAGGAGGAGAAGGGGGTGTGGGTTGCTGGAGCTTGGCATATTAGCACAATAGGCATGTGTCAGCAGCACTACGTGAAGAGAAAGTGAGGGGGAGGGAGAGCTAGAGGGGAGGGATGGAGGGA